CTGATGATTCCTCATGTGATCCGACAGCTGAGATCAAGGAACAGCATGAAAAGAATAAAGGGTATTCTAATAACTTGGGCCGATTTTAAATGTGAATTAAGTTTAAATGTCTAATTGAAATTGCCAAAGTCTGACGTTGTTAAATCTGAAATAAAAAAAATCATTAGACTTAATTCACATTTAAAATCGGTCCAAGATATTGGAACACCATTCATATCCAAATGTTGGACAGTTTTTGTCTTCATTTTCTTCCGAAACTAAAGCCACTATACGAAGCTTAGAACGGCTCATGATCAAACATAATAAACATTCGTTGTATGTTATATTTAACAATATATTCTTGAAATATATATCTATATATATATATATATATATATATATATATATATATATATATATATATATATATATATAATATGAATAAATATATTTCAAATGTGTGCTATATTTATGGGATAAATTGAAGTGACAGTCAATATCAGAGATAGTGTGTATGTAAATATAAAAGTGAACATTTATGTCAACACTCAGAGGCGACAGGCTGTTTCATGCTACACGCAATCATCAGTTTGTTAGTTTTACTTTGTGTGGTTAAATGGATTATAACTGAGAGATATAAATGCACACAAAAAAACAAATCAAGAAATGGTTAATACTAAAATATATATATATATATATATATATATATATATATATATATACAAAACAGATATATAACTCTAGACTTACTTGAACAGGCAAAAGGCTGCTACGGATACCAACCTTAGGATAGAAAACCAAAAAATCTTAACCCTTTAGACATACACCACATTCCTGGAAGTCAAACCATCCTCCATCAATAATTAAACATATACCTCCTCATCAATAGAAAATAGAATTAGGTGACTCTTTTGTCATTAACTCCGCAAACAGGGAAATATTCCAACAACACAATAGCTTCTATAACACCGCCCTAAAAAATAGTGGTCTTTATAAAATGCTAACATTAACTAGAGAAAATTACACTGGACATGCTGTAACAAAAAAACAGGAAAAGAAATATCATTTGGTATTACCCCTCCGTTCAACCAAAGGGTTAGTATTAAACTAGGACAGAAATTTTAGCTCTAATTAATAAACACTTCCCCACCAATAGTAAGTCTTAGTAATATATTCAATAAGAACACCCTAAAATTGAGCTACAGCTGCTCTGATAATCTTGAACGCATAATAAAAAAACACAATAATAAGATCTTGAACAAACCCCCCATGCAAAAATATGAAAAAAAACAGTATTAATAAAAACTCTGACAAACCTCTTAAATCAGACGATAAAAAAGATAAAAAATTATGCAATCTCTAGAAACTCAGAAGACTGCCCATTAGAAAATAAATGTACCAGAAACAATATTAATTCTGTGGTATACCAATGTACTATTTCATCCACAGAGAGCAAACACCCTAGCACTAATATGATATACATTGGGTCCACGAAGAATAATTTTCAAAAACAGAAAGAAAAAAGATAGATGGAGGCAGCATAAGAATTTGAAAAACTATCCTTTAATAATATAAACAAACGAAATCAGACTTCACTATCAAAAATATTTTTGGCACCTGAAGGAAACAAATAAGACACCAAAAGTTAAATGGAAAATTATTGAAAATTATTAAGCCAAAGCACACACAAAAATATTTTTTCTCACCTTATAAACTAACATTTGGGATGACCCATGCCCTTTTGCCTCCATGAAAAATTGCACATCATTAAACCTATTTTTCTTATATATATATATATATATATATATATATATATATATAAATAATAATAATCTATTAAATAATAGACACGAGTTAACGGATCATTATTTTTTTGTAGGCATCATCAGATTTTTGGTTTGAATTATTAGATAACAAAAAAAATTTATATAACTTGTTTAACAAATAGCCCAATCATCAGATTCATAGTAGGAATAATTAACTACAAACATGCATACTACATAACACACTTCATAATCCATAGCCTAAATTAGTAGTTTAAATATATATATATATATATATATATATACATATATATAATATGAATAAATATATTTCAAATATAAGATAAACCCTTTATGAAGTCGTCAAAAACAAACGTTACGCAATCATCAAAGTTTTTTTTTTTTTTTTCATATGCACAATTCCTTTCATAATAAAATAAAATAAAATAAAATAAATAAATCTCCATAGACAAGCAAACTAGACGATGGCCAATACATCTTCCGTTTCATTTTTGACACCCCATAGGAAAAAAACCTTTTTCCCCGACTTGACACCTTGAAAGTATCTCTATACCGCTACTTAATATAAACACCCTACACTCGCCTACCTAATTTAGACAATTCACCATAGCTGTTACCATGGGGATTTTGATTTCAATTTTAAAACAAGTAAATTTCAGATATACGTTATTCCAACAAAAATTTCGCTTGAGGATGGAACGGAGCCCATTTTACTTTCAACTCAATTTAATTTAAAGGATTATATTGAATCATCAGATTTTCGGCTCTTAGTTTTGAAACATGAGACCTCTTATGATAACCCTTTATGAAGTCGTCAAAAAACAAACGTTACGATTTGGAATCATATTTTAAAATAAATAATTATATTTATGCTCTACTTTTGGTATCGAGCACTATTTTTTAAAAATAATAACTAAAATACTAAGGGATTTCAATTTTGGATTATTTACCTAACCAGTTCCTTCCTATTTTCTATATATTTTCATATATATATATATATATATATAAACGTATATATAGTAAACATAATAAATATATATATAACATATATATATATATATATATATATATATATATTACTTCAAACGTATATATATATATATATATATATATATATATATATATATATGTATGTGTGTGTGTGTGTGTGTGTGTGTGTGTGTGTGTGTGTGTGTGTGTGTGTGTGTGCGGTAATCAAATTAAAATTAAAGGTTCAAAAATAATCACGCAATTTCAGGATTAGCAAAAATTAATCATTTCATCAGGATCCAGAATTTTACTTATTTTTTCAGGCGATCAGAACTTCTGTGAAAAATGCTCTAAATAGATAACTTGAGCTACAACACTCAATAAATCAGGAAAAGATTCAATACATTTTGAGAAATATCGACAGAAGAGGTTCGCGTCTACGTGTGAAGTGACACACACACACACACACACATATATATATATATATATATAAGCAGTCATACATGAAGAGAAAATTAAAACACCTAAAAAATCCCCTTGAAAATGGCTAAAGAAGTGTCTGAAATCGCTTGGGACAATGTAGAGTATGGACAATTTTTGCACTCTTTTACACCCACCAAACGGAAAAACGTAAGTGGACATTGAAATCGATATTCGGAACCTCTGGGAGTTGATTTCAATGTCCATTTTATATTTACATACGATATATCACTTTAATCTGTACATATAGCGTACCTTAGAACTATCATATATATATATATATATATATATATATATATATATATATATATATATTAATATATATATATAACTTTCTGTAGAACCCTCACATTAGTCCCCATTAGTCCCCATATACATACACTCTCGCTAAATTTATTTTTTATACCCGGAGTTATTTTTTTCGATTTCTTTTTGAATTTTTAGCTCTGATGAATTGGATCGTAATTACGATGCCAATGTAATAAATTATAACTATGGAATATTAGTATTTAAGCCATTTTATTATATTCTTACTCTGTCCTGGACATTGAGTTCTACCTGGATTCTATCCTCTTGGAATTTATATATATATATATATATATATATATATATATATATGCAATTTTATACGAAGACAAACCTAAAAAAAGCTTTTGTTTTGGACTTTGTCCCATTATCGCGAAGCACACACGCTCACACAGACATACATACACACACACAAGCATATATATATATATATATATATATATATATATATATATATAAATTAAACACCACTTATATATATAACTGATCATATACATATATATATATATATATATATATATATATATATATATAAATTATACATATATTATAAATTATACATATATATATAAACAAATTACATGCATATATATATATATGTGTGTGTGTGTGTGTGTGTTATAAACAAATTACACACACACACACGCACTGTATAATTTGTTTCTAATAAAGTGTTGTTCTGCTGGCTTGTGCGCTAATCGTATGAAACCACTGATTCTATCCTTAGCAGTTGTCTGTGATTTTCACGAATGTTCTGTTATTACAAGATGGATGTATTTTAGCTTCTGGAAAAGAGTTTTATTTTTTAACAACTGTTACAGAGATCATTCCAGATTCGTTTTTAAGCAAGTAAACAAATCAACATCTGCCACATCATATGATGACTTGGCTCCTTCCACCATCTGTTGATAAGATTATCAATGCACGAGAAAGAAGACGAAAACTTTTAGTCTCTTGAATAATTATGACGAAGATCGTATTTTCCTCGAAAATAAACTTGGAATTGATTGCTCTGTACTAATGGCAAGTAAGCAAGGAGACCCATTACTAGAGGTAGTGACTATATTTCCTACTGCATGTCTCATAGCTCAATAAATGCGTACAAGTCATACGAAGCAATGTTAGCCAAACTTGTGATTAACAAATTTGTTTCTCTTCGTATATTTTAGCCAAGCAAAAATAGAATTTGAATGGTGAAACGTTCAGCAGACCGGCCCTCTCTGTGGAATGATTATATGTATCTAAGAGAATTTCTCAGTTTGATCAAGAATTTGGTTTGGTTGCTTTGGTTTTGTAACATATCAACAACTCTATGGGTTATTTAATGTCAAAATCTAAATATTTTGTTATAATATTACCTCCAGTGATTCCAGTCTGTGGGGAGAGGTGATTTCACCGAGTATTTGCGCGTGAGTCTGACGAAACCGACAAGAATCTGTAATTAACGATCATCCATTTATACCACCCGCCCATTCAAGCTTGAAGCAACTGATATTCCCAAACGGTCACCCATCTAGCTACTGAACAAGCTCGATGTTGCTTAACTTTGGTGATCGTACAGGAACTAGTGTTTTAACGTGGCGTGACCGAAAGGATAGTGCAACTAAGCAGGGATACCATATATATCAATTAATTATTCAGAAATTGCTTTTTTGTACATTTCGTACACGAAACTGAGCAGATTTCGGATTTCGAGAAATATATTTCATTGAGGAAGTATGCTTTCCTTAAAAGGCAAAATAGACTCATAATCAAAAGGTGGTTTCTCCTAGAAATGGGCACACAGATTCGAACCCTACCGATGATTTCCTTCTTTTAAGATTTCTCGAATGCGCAGGCCGATTGACGTAATACTCATTGTTTAAAATAAAAACAAAAACCAGCCTGAATGTCCGAGAAATTTTCATAGAAAATATTCGTCCTCGGACATTCAAGCCTGTAAATGTTGTTTAATACTGTTTATTATAAGACAGAGCATTTACTTAAATATTTGTATCTATAAAAAGAATGTATAAACATAAAAATGTCTTGAAATAATTGTCGGACTTTGTCCATTTCATAATATATATATATATATATATATATATATATATATATATATATATATATATATGGGTTGTAGGGAGTAAAAAAGAAAACTGAGAATAGTGAGGATTGAGGAAAGGACAAAAGATGTACAGGAGTCGAGAAAATAGAAAATGGTGATTGATATTTCATTTCAATTTTTGAAGATTGTAGTTATCTGGGAAGTAGGTAACCGGAAGGGAGTTTCACAGGTGGGAAGTGCAAGAAAAGAAACTGTTGGAGTAGAAGTTCCAGTTATATTTAACTATCAACATTAAAAGGGTGGGACCTAGATACCAATCTATTAGCACACTTAAATTAATTTAGTCGGGGCACCAGAGAAAAATCTTCTCAGAGCAGTTAGCATGAAAATATTTATAGAAAAGACAGAGTGAAGTCACGTCCTGTCACATCATGGCAGTTAGAAAGTGACTGAAGTCGAGATGCCTGGTCAGGATTGATCTTTCTTTGGATTTTGTTCAGAATCTTAAAATGTACAGCAGGAGCAACAAACCAGATATGGCGGCAGTATTCAGTACACGGGTGAATGGCAGATATGTATATATGCAAGATGGATTCCAACGAGAAAAATGTTCTGGCGCGACACAGTGACCCTAATATCCTTGCAGTAGATACAGCTATTGATTCAATAGATTCATAGCTGTATCAAACTTACAGCAACCGCCGTCTCTCTAACTCTCTGCATTAGCAGGGAGGAACCCGGACGAGGCTTTGCCGAAGGGCAAGGTTTTCGTTCCGGGAAACCCGCCTAGGCTAGGTTTCGTTCTCGAACCCGCCTAGGCTATATTTTTGGCCGGGCCTACGGGCCCTGATTACCCAAATTAAACCCGGCCTTGTGCCACATGCTACCCCACGTGGGGGGCAGCTATATATAGCTATTGATTCAATATAGTGAACAACATGAGGTCAAGAAGGCGCAGTGGGTTGCTCTCTTGAAGTCTAGCGTCAGCCACGCTGATAGCAGACAGAAAAGGTTCACTATGGTGGTTTAATTAATGCAGCATTGTTTTAAAAGCGTTAAAATTTACAAGTCATTTCTTGCTCCAGTTACCCACTGAGTGGAAGTCCTTTTCATGATGTTTCCGTTAAAGTTTACTCTATTAAAAGTCTGGTAGCTGACTCCATAGTCGTCAAAAATGAAAATTGAACTTAAAATAAGCGACAGTTGAAATTTCTCGGATACATGAGGAAAGAGGGCTTGGAGTATTTGACACTCCCAGGGCATACTGAAGACAAGAGTAGTAGAGGGAAACCCCAAGTAAACTATTCTCAGAAGTTTTTTTTGCAAATCTCGGAGAACAGCGAGATAAATGTTACTTAGGATTGGAAGTTATGGAGAGCCATTTTTATACAAGTTCTGGAAGGACAGGAAAGATAAAAAAATGATGAATCAAAACTAGTAACTGACTATTTACGTGGAAATATATCTTCTCATCATATTCGAAAATTAATTTGTTTAATCCGGTACATGTTCAAGGAAACAGGGCACATGGTGAGAAACAAACGCAATACGATGCGAAAATATCTTTTTTGCAGACTCGCTCACTATAAAATATGTAATTCTTTGTTTGTGTATGTGCACGTATATGCCTATGTGTGTTTATTGTATGTATGTTTGTAAACATCTTTAAATTAATTAATTCGTGTGTATATGTATGTATATATACATTTTTGTTTGAAGGAGTACACGTGTAAAGCAATTTATACACACATAGGGTGTAGACAAACATGTCTATATGTGTGTGCGATTGGGTGTCTTATAATGTTTTTTCGACTTTAGATGGATGTATGCATTTATTTTTATGTGTTTGGATACATATCTGAAACAGACTTGTGTGGATATTTGTTTGAGGCTTTATATGTGTGTATGTGAATGTAGCGTGTGTCTGTGTTTAGTCGAAATGTCAGTAGTACGGAGGCGTTCCAGTCAAGCATGTGTCTATCTTCAATGTTGTTTATATTTTGACCGCCCCAATATAACACCGCAGCAGATAATGAGAGTAAACACGAGGCGTTATCAGTTAGAATCAGGCGTAAATCCGTTGTGAGCCTCGCAGATATGTTCTCGCCGCTAGTCAGGCCACGGCCATCCATCTTTCAGCACTTGTTCTAAAACGGCTCCCGAAGGAGAAACAAGCGATCAATCAGAAAATGGCCGACAGATATAAAGGAGCAGATAATTAGCCAGTATCTTGTGATAACGCCCTCTACCGGGCAACTTGTAGACGCTTTTTAGCTCCTTTGTGCTTCTTACGTTTTTCTTTCTTTCTTTCTTGATTTCTTTCTTTTTTTTTTTTTTTTTTTTTGTCTATTTTCTTTCCAGATTTTTTTTAACCTTTATTTTATTCCAGATACACCTTTGAAAAAGAAGAAATCATTTTTACACTTACTCTCTCTCTCTCCCTTTCTACTCCCTTTGTGTTGAGCATCCGTTTCTTTTTTAGATTCTTGCTCTAGCTTTCTTTTTTAGTTTACATTTGTCTTTTTCTTTCTTTCTTTCCTTCTTTCTCTATTTATTGCTCGTTTGAGTTTGAATTTTAAAGAACACCCTTTTCACTTTTAGATCTTCCTCTCTTCTTTCTTTTATTGTTTCTTCCTTTTTCTTTTCTTTTCTTTTTGCTTACTTTTATCTTCGTCCTTTCTTTATTTCTTACTTTCTTTTTCATTTGCTTACATACTTTCCTTCTTGCTTATTTTCTTTCTTTCTCCTTCTGTTTATTCCTGCCTATACTTTTTTATTTTTTCTTTCTTTTTCACTCTCTTTCATGTTTGCTTGTTTATGTACTTGCTTACTTTTTTCCTTCGTTTTTTCCTTCCTCTCAATTTCTATTTTTCTTTTTTCTTTCATTAATCTATCTATCTATCTATCTATCTAATCTATCTATCTATCTATCTATCTATCTATCTATCTGTTTGTCTGTCTTTCGAGCCCTGTCTTGTCATATCTATCTATCTAGTTATTCCTTGATTGTGTTTGCAATTTAGAGAACAAATCTTTTTTTTTTTTTTTTTAGATTATGCCTTCCACCTTTCCTTCATTTTTTGTTTCTTCATTTTTTCTTTTGCCTTTTTTATTACTGGTTTCTTTTATTTTTCTTTCTTTTCATTTTCCCTTCTTCTTTCTTTCTTTCTTTCTTTTTCCTCATTTTTTCTTTCCTTTTTATTTTCCTTCTTATTTTCCTTCTTTACCCGTTTTCTATTTTTTTTTTTTGTTTCCTTTTTTATTGCTTTTTTTCTTTCTTGACTCCTTCTTTGCTTCATTACTTTTTATCTTTTTGTTTTCTTTCTCTCTTTCCTTTTATTCTCTCACTCACATTCCAACATTTTATTAGTTTGTGTATTTGATTTCGTTTTCTTCTAACGCAATTCTTTATCAAGTTATTTCTTCATAAAAAAAGGATTCTCCTCTGTTTTGTTTCCTGTATTTTCCGATAGATTTCCTTTCAGTCAAAACAGCATCCTTTTTACTCACTTCTTTTTTCTTCATCTTCTTTCTTTTTGTGAAGCGCTCTTTTCCTTACTCTTTTAAATTTTTCTTTCAAAATTTTCCTGTCTTTTTTGTTTTCGTTTTACTCTAGTATTTTTATGTCTGCTTCATTTTTTTGTGTTTATTTTTAGTTTGGCTTTATTAAAAAGCTCATTTTACGTTTGAATTTTTTCTTTCAAACATTACCACCATTTTTTTTTACTCTTTTAAATGGAGATTCTTTTTCGTTGACTTGCTTCATGGCTTCCTTTTCTAAGCATCCATTTATTTCATATAAATTTTCTTATTTCGTTTCTCCTTCTTACCTTTTCCTTCCTGTCATCTCTCATTATTTTCCTATTCTATTCTTGCCCTACTCCTTCTCTCTATTTCCCCGCCTTTCATTGCTTCTGCTCCGTTCTTGCATTTTACCATTCCTTTGGCTATTTCGTCGGAAGCGCCTTTGTTATTCTGTTTTCAAATAGTCAGCTCTTTTCGCCATCTCCTGCCAATCTTAGGACCTAACTTATTCCTGTTTTTTTTTTGTTTTTTATTTATTTATTTTTTTTGAGTCGCCGATTCTCTGCAGATATCAGCCACGAACAATGTGACACGTTTTTCCTCTGGGCATCAGTGCAATGTCTCCTCTTGCTAAATGTTGGACACGTGGAAAGGTAACTCATTCATCAGGTTCCCACTGTTTACATTCAATGCGCTCATAGTCAACCACTGCCTTTTCTAAGTCTAAACGACAAACAACTGACAGGCAAATGTATTAAGTTGGCCAGAAAGTCCTGTCTCACTTAAGAAGCGGAAATAAAACAACAAAACATTTATGGAGCAACACCAACATCTATTCTTCAAAATAAAGTTCATCATTCTCGACGTTCTACTGCAAGCGATCAGCCAGCATTCGAATCTGTCCAAGATACCAGTCCACTGGCTTTGAATTTAAAAACTGTAAACAAGCTTCCTTCACTTTATCAAAAGTGTTGTATCGCTGGTTGCGGAGGAAGTGTGCCATTGAGCGGAATAGGCCATAGTCACTCTGGGCAGCATCGGGAATGAATGATGGATGTGGAAGAGTCTCAACACCGTCCATCTGTTTGAACTTCTCCTGAGTCAACCTGGTTTGCTGAAACAAAGCCCGACATCGATTAACTAAAGTAGGATACTCCTTCTTTAATATGTCATACACGTGATCAAGCTACTAACAATACAGTTTAGCGTTGATGGCGCGACCGTGTGGAACAAGCTCGAAATGCAGTCCTCCTTGGAAATTTCACTAGGAGGGACAACTCAACACCACCCACTCAACACAGTCGACTGAGCGCAGGGGCAACTCAGGACCTAGACAATTCAGCATCAAAAAAACATAACTTTTTTTTTATCACCGAATAAAAGTAATTTATTAAGGATTAAACCTTAATCAGTGAATATAATCCCTTTTCAAATACCTTATTTGAAGAAAACTTCAAATAAGGTATTTGAAAAGGGATTATGTAAAATATGAACCTTTTTTTTGTTGTTTTTAATTATTCCTAATAAAGTAAATCGTAAATTATTAAATTATTTTTATGAAAATATTTTAGAATGTCGATTCACTTTATTAAAAAATAAATTACATTATGATTTACGTTATTAAAAATAATTAAAAACAAAAAACTGCTTCATTTTGTTTTGCATTTTTTGTTTATTTTATAAAAAAAATAATTTAAAACACGTGTGTTTATTGAATTATTTTTATCTGTCAATTTACTATATTAAAAAATAAATTTCTTTACGATTTAATTAAAATCCCCACAAAACAGCATAAATGATTCCAGAGATGTGTATAATATCGAAGATGGTTCCAAGATTTTAGGCTGGATTGTTTAATCGGAGGCCCAGAAACCCATGAAATAAATAAACTCTTTCCCCTCGTTTCTGTTTTTTTTTTTTAAATCTAGCAAGGGTAATTCTCAGATTAATCATCAAAATCTATGCATATGATACCAGTGTTTTCGGTCGCATTTCCAGATAGTAAAATAACCGGATACTTGCAGTTGGTCGCTCTTCTGACAGCTCAATGGGGAAATAACTGAATTGTTATTTTAAATAACTAAGAAAAAAAACGAGGTAGTATCGTTTAATCAGTACTATTCAGATCACAATTTTTGTTTAGTACCGATTAACATCTATTCTCATTCAAGTTCACTCAAGAGTATATATATATATATATATATATATATATATATATATATATATATATATATGTATGTATGTATGTTCTAGTTCTCTAATTAACTTCTTGATGTTAAGTTGAAATTCATCAAGGAAGATGCCGTAGTTTTTGTTAACCCAAGTACTTTCGATCTCCTCCGGGACCATCTTCTTCAGGTCCTCTATATAAAAAACAATCAACCAAAACTGAACAAAATTTATTATAAGAGTATTACCAATGTTTTAAAATGTATTTGACCAACATTTAATACCATTTTGCTTTTTTACCACCTCTGGTTACACCACTTACATTGACACACATGTTTTGAAAAAAACAAAAAAGAAAAAGAAAAAAAAAACATACCACAGCCACAACGGATAAATTTAAAATTTGAAAATAATTGTAACAGAGCTCGTTCACGCATGTTTACAAAAATCGCGTTCACAACGATCACAATAAATCTGTCTTCGCAGGAGATCGAAAGCACTTGGGTAGAAAAAAACAAACTACGGAGCCTTCCTTGATGAATTTCAACTTAACATCAAGAAGCTAATTAGAGAACTAGAAAAGATTATTATGAAAATAAAGAGACACAATATGTTTCAATGAAACATGGTTGAATGAAGATACGCTGCGGAGGAGTGGGGGGGGCGGCAAATTCAAGCAGCGTCTTTATTTTCTTGCTACACCACTATCGTATACACAAATTAGGAATGAGTCTTAGTATAAGTATGTTACTTCACTAAATTAAACGGAATAACTTTTCATTCATATTAGTGGAGTTCTAATCTATTCTTGGCCTCTTTTTCACTCTCAAGCTGTTGAACCACAAGAGAGGTTAACTTCAAAACAAAATCAAAGGCTTAATATTAACGTCAATAGTAGCAGAACGGTGTAATTTGTCTGCTCTGATTTTTTCCCTCTACAAAACTGTTTCAAAGAACAAGCAATAAATGCGAAAAAAAAAAATAATTCAACGAAATCAATCAAAATGCTGTGAATACTAGAGGCGTACAAAAATCAGTTAAAAAAATTAATCTATGTTTTCGACAAACTCCGGCCATACGATCAAGAAGCTACTTTGAAATGAGGAAATAATTTAAATAATATAATTTTTCCATGCCCATGAAACAAAACATCAAACAGGGCAGTCGGATTGACACAAACCCAAGTTAACATCCCAAGTTATTGTAAATTAATTTACATCAAAATTTAAATAAACTTACTTCTTAAAGAGCAGGATCAATTTACCCTACTACTAGTTCAAAAAAATGTAAGCTTGATTGAATGGTCAGACTCGGCGTATAGTCGGTAACCGGATAATTTGTAGCGGATGGGTTTGGTTATCAGAGTTTTATTTTGATATCTCTAAACTAGAAATACTTTTGTATTAAATGTAGTCAGAGATATCGTCGCCGCTAAACTGGTCTCTGTATGTGTGCTTATTTTGCCATTTTTGCAGATGTAAATGTAATAAAAAAAGCTAAATGAAAAAGAAAACGCAGAGGGAAAAGTACTGAAGATCAAATCTTATGAAAATCAGAGACTAATCAGTGGGGGCGGGGACTAAGGGGCCAGCCAAAATTCGGTGGGGGCCATTTTCAGTTATCTCCCTTTAACTCAACTCTTCAAGTTTTTGTTTACCACTGCAGTAGCCAGGTACTGAAATCTTTCGCTCAAGTTACTGGGCCTTGTGACTTTGAGGGAATCAGTTTATGGAATTCATAAATTTAATATCTCAATAATCATTTTTTACAGAAGAGGTGTCTGCGAAGTGTCGAACCACTTGTGAAGGTCGTACTGATGTTATTTGGACCACAGATCTTTTGAACAAGAGTAGAGATTCATCTCTTGTTTCCTGTATAGGATTGGATTTCTCCTTCCTCCTAAAGTCTTTTAATTCCCTTTTAATTCCTCGTAGCCCCTTACGTCTTAGTGCCATTATCGCCTTGCTTATGAGAGAATTGATTTTAAAAAAGGTAAAACGGATGAAAATGAGGAAAACTGAATCAGGAATTAATAAAGGAAATATTTTTCTTTTTAAAAAAATAATTCCCCCCGCCAAGCAAAACAGTAATGCTATTAAGATGTAAATAGTTACTGATTGTTAAAGAATATGAGAAAAAACAAACTATTATGGTGAGAGAACATAAAGAATTTCACCAAATAATTTCAATATTTTTAAACAAAAGCAGGCAATACCTTCCCCGCTTTCATATGATTGACATCGAGGAACAAGCATCAACCCCAAACAACTTCCGGTTTTTGTTTCTATTGAAACGTTAATCAGAGAGCAAATTAGATTACTGATCTTTTACGAATGGCTTCTGAAGAAATTCTAGACGGCAATGGAATGAAAACAAATCAGATGAAATATATATTTGAACAGCCGACAAAAAAAAAAAAAGAAGTTAATGCTTCTGTTTTTAAAATGTACGAATTTTCCTGTTCGTAATGATTGAAAATTTCATATCAATATCTTTCAGAATTTAACTTAGCATTCTGTCTATATTTGAATCAGTAATACGGAGTGCTACAGAAAAAAACACAATATTAAAAGTAAAATTTCAATATGTGATCTGGTAAAAAATGGTTACTGAGACATAGGTTTATAAATCCCACAAATTCATACACTGATATGCACGTGGCCCAATGAATAAAACCATTGGTTGAACCCAGTGACTTGATTCAAAGAGTTGTGTGTTCAATACCTGGCTACAAACAAACAAAACCTGCAGTGTTTAATGCAATAACAACGAATCAGATATAAATTCAAACGTTCATAACGTCAATTTAAAAGGGCTCAATACAAAAGTAAAGCTATAACTCTTTATTATAGGTTATTATTTGGGGGATAACTGAGACATCCAGAAGAAGCATGGCACATGGAACTAGAGCAATCTACCCGGGTGGAAAAAAATAAAGAGTTCGTTCGAAATTTCAATCACCCGAAGAAGGCCAGAGCGTACAACGGCCTAAACGTCGAGAATATGGCAATAAAGATGGTCACAACAGTGTGAATAATGTAAATATATAGCCTTCATCGGAAAAAAAGAAGAAATGCGCTAACATGTATGAGTTTAAGCTTGACCATAATGCTTCTTAAAGTGATGCCAACATTAACAGAGCGTGGGATGATCGATCCAATTGAGATCGGACAATATGTCTCTGCAATTGACAATCAATATCTGAAAGCACTCGTCGAACAAAGGAGTCAGAGAAATGTTTCAGATAATGGGTGTCAATATCGGAAATTGGCAAGGTGACGAAACTCAATAAATG